GCCTTTTTTCCAGGTTCAAATACTGCCTCTATGCATTATCTTATTTGGAAAGTCGTACATAAAGTAGCAGTAATGGCCCTATTGTAAGAGGCATGAATTTTGAAAAAACAAAGCAATTAAAAAGATGCTGAATTACTCCCTGGGGCACTTTCAAACAGCCCCAGACTTGTTTGAGGCACTTCCCCGCTAGCGGTTAACCTTATCCAATGTTGAGGACAATAGCAGTAATAATGCTCTCACTAATGCCCAAACATAAATTGAAACTAACTTTTCTTTGTCACTGGGACAGACCGAAGGAAGATAGCTCTAATGACTATAATGAGCAAGATTACGAACTCTGACTAAGTGAGAGCTTAGAGAAAAAGGAAAACTTCGATTGTTCAAAGCATTTTTGCAAATCACATGTAAAGAGACTCAATGCCATGTGCCTACAATGTTTTAATAGAAAAAAAAGACAATTCATCAAAAGCGAAAGCAAGTATCAGCTCAAGCAGGAGCAGCAAAACCTGACGAACACCAGTAGCTAGAAAAGAAAATGAAGTTAACTGTGGCACTCATATGAGTATATAGTAAATAAATAAGATAAAGCAAAATGAAAACATCTGAAAAAAATTCCTAGAAGTACTCACTCGCACACATTAATCGGATCCGTTACAGAGAGTTGTTTGCCGGTTTCCTCCAGTAGAAAGGTTGTAACGTACTGAACGACTGGCTTCAATGGATCTAGGGTCATGGACTGCATGAGATAAATGAAACCATGTAACGCCGACTCACGGACGAATGAGTACTCTGACGTCAACCCATATTCGACCTGAATGTATGGCAGCATAGAATAAGATTAGCAAGTAGTGTAAAACATATTCTCACAAGCTACCCAAGAAAGGATCTGCTTTGCTAAGTCAGCTTCAGTCATTCCACGAGATGCTGCGTCGAGTCCAATAACTGTAACAGCTTTCAGCATGCTGTAGATGACATAGCCAATATCCGGATGGCGATCTAGGTGACCTTAAACAGCACTAACTCTGATATTCGCAATCACTACGGCCAGATCGGCGAGGATCACGAAAGAAAACTAGCCTAAATTCCATAGGTAATTCCGCGTGAAGATAAGGCAAAGTGAGCGCTATCTGTACAAGGTATGCGTTGTTTAATTCTTCGTTGATTTTTTTTTGTGAGGAAGTTGTTTTCAAGAAGGATAGCTCGTCAGAACATGAAAAACCGACCAAAAATAATGGGGATGAACAAAAAAAAACCATGCGTCACCCACAACTATTAAAGCGAATTTATCTATGGAATTTACAAGCCACTCAAAGGAAAGGTCACCTCCTCGGAAAATGCTTCTCATTTGCAAATAGAGAAATTCGTAAGAAGCCGAGTCATCAAACAAGTCTGACAGTAAGGCCATCTGAAAATATGCTCGACAAGATGAATCTTGAATATTCTTTGAAGAAGTATATGTTAATAAAAGAAAACCAACCGATTTAACAGTAGAGCATAGAAGCGGCAGAGGAAGATGATCGATACCACGGGCAAACCAGTGTGAAAAATTTTCAAACAGCGCACGTACTGATGAAGCAGTGTCAAGTTCACAGGTGGTCTTCAGAATAAACTCAGAAAGTGATACGCGCATCCGCTAAAAACTGCGGTATGAATCACCACAATACCAAATCAGCCTCGTCGCTTTTCAGTGTCGATCTTTGTTCTACACCACACCACAAAACTCTTTAGGTGTCGTACTCGTTTTGCAAAGGAAATCAAGGCAGCAACAAATAGTAAGTATGGCAACAACCTAGAGGCTGATAAAGTTATGGCAGAACTCAATCATACCGGGCTGTCGGCCTTCGTGAGCTGTTGCGGATTCTCTTCATTAAGAACCCCTGTCAAGGTCCAAAGTGACAATGCGGATAGCTGACCAAGTCCGTAGAATTCACCCTGACAAGAGGATTTTTACTAGCTAATCTACAAAATAAAAACCATATACAGAAAGAAAGCAAGGGATGAAAGAAAAGGAAGATCGGAAATCACCTTATCTTCAAGTCTCTCGAGATTCCTACGATAAACCTGTGGTGGTTCACGATCGGCCGTTAATCTTGCCTTCAGCTTACATAGCAACTGCATTGATCTGAGCGTAGGTGGATTATTAATGAAACTTTAAACCTTTCAAGAATCTCAATACTTCGACTGATAGAAGGGATCGTTGCGCTCGCGATGTTTGATAACAAAACGACCAATCGGCGGGTTACCAGGCTCAGGATATAAGAGGCTGTATAGTAGAATGTCTGTGAGCACTGACACGGCAACACTACTTGACAATATTTGCTCGGAAAGATTCTGTAATAAACCAGAATTACTTGGTTAATCTATCTGTAATTAATAACTGGTATTCTTACAGCTGAAGTGTCTGAGGTCAATTCACTGCCCGTTGGTGTTGAAGAAAGCACACCGAAAAGTGACATCCAAAAATCTTCAAACTGTTGACGAGATATCCAGCCAAGCCTTCAACTATGTTCAATTAGTAAACAAAAAGTAATATGACTGTGGTTGTTCTACGATTCTGTATACACTGTTGCACAATTATACTCATCTGAGGCTCCAGGTAGCTAGGGTAAGCTACCAGGGAACAAAATGAGTTGTTACTAACCAGAACAATTCTACCTGGCTCAGTGAATAAATTCTTACCAATTTATTCGCCACGAAAAATCATTAAGAATATTTAAATTACACAGCAGGTGAATATTGACAAGTGGAACGTGAACTGCGTTCTCCCGTATTTCGATTCGAAGTTTCCAGTTCATCCTAAAATGACGAAAGAAACTCAGAAAATCAACAGGTTCACAAATATTAGCTACTCACTTGAGAGCCGCAAAAGGAACAATAGCAAATCTATGCAGGATTGGATGCCGGAACAGAACTGTAAATAAGACTAAATGGTTAAAAGTAGTTCTATGACTAAACACTGAGCTGACCTCTACTTAGCTTCTCAAGATGAAACAGATCATTATTATTATGAGATCGATAGATATGGCAAATATTATGCACATCATTGAACAGCGTAACTATAAACCCTGAAACAGTTTACGACAGTTGAACTGAATACTAACGATGTTGCACTGATATACTAATCGAAAATTTACCGTCTAAGCCACCAAAATCTTCATAATCTTGAGACATCACAGCCTCAGAGGTAGTCGTAACAGTAATTTTATCCGTAGCTGAGATATGGTCAAACCTGGTAGGATTCCCCTGTAAGATCGCATCACCAAAACGATACTTCATAGGGAGATTTGAAACACTCACTTGATCCAACAATTTCAGGATACTGACAAGGAGCTTGTGGATACTTTGAATACCAAAAAATATATCACGGATAAACATCTCCTTCGTGGACGAATGACCCATCATGAATGCGAGCCCTTCACATGTTGAATTCATACTGCATGATGGTAACATCTACAAATATAACGATTGAAGAAAAATGCGTCAAGGAGCCAAATCTCGAAAATGGACCAGAAACTAATTAACATACAATTTCTCCAGCTGCAAACTCCAATAAAGCCAACACCTCGTTCGATGTGAAGTTACCCCAAGCGATCTCAGTTGAATTCTGGAAATACGTAACAAGCACTGGAAAATGGCAAATGTAATGTCTAGGCAGGTTCTTACCAACAGTGGTATCCTGGACAAGACGAACAGTTTCAAGCGGAGTGCATCTCCACCAACTGCACCTTCATACTCAACCAAATCATAGACTACGTCTACTATCTCCCTCGCTTTAGTCAAAGCAATCTTGTACGTGTCCGGATATACTGAACAGATAGAAGTCAAAGGACGTCGGTGATTTGCCTTCCACTGTGTTAAAGATGTACTTGTTAAAATGCTACTCTTCGAAAATTCCACCCTTGAAAACGCGAAGCAAAAAAATGTACAATTTAATAAAATGAATTCATAAGAGCAAGGGACATAAGAAATTGGTGAAGAAGGGTTGTGAGTGGAAAGCAAAGGGGATAAATAACAGAATGAGAAGGAAGAGCACCAAAAAGTTTTTTTTTTGAACAAAACGAAAGAATACATAAGAACTTTTTCAGCTCTGTCAAAAAGAACTCTACAGGTAATTTCATATTTGAGGTAAAATGAACCATTACATAGGCGACCGCAGATGATTACTTGGAAAGTGGTCGAGACAACGTACCCATTTGCGATGTGAGGTGATCAGAGACAGTTCTTAAAAGATATCCCAAAAAGGAAGTATGGTGAGCTTCATCCTGGAATAGCAAAAACGCACTGACCGTTCCAAGAGATTGTGGTCTTCACTGACAGGAAGGGAAGGAAAAGCGTACCACACACTCATATACGTAGTAAATATCCGGAGATTCCAAGGAAAGTACTGTGTGGAAAACCTTCGGATTTGTGATCCACATCGAACCAGAGAAAACTGATTTGCAGAATTCAAGGAGGGAGCCTTCGGTTGATAGGGGAGGGCAAGGTGATACACTAAACCGGCATCGTAAAGTAAAAAAGAAGGTTAACTAATGACGCAAAGCTTACTCCGGCAAAGTTTCATCCAGCATTCCAACATTGATTTCCGAAAGTGAATTGCCGGACAACGAGAAGCACAATCGAGCGGCGTACCTTGAATAACAACAAAAAACAAATGTGCACCACAGTGATATTTAGGTGGCGAGATGATAAGTTTCCTTCACTGCCACTCCTGTTACCATTTCCCTAAAACTATAGACCACTGGAAAGGGTGTGATGCCTGAGTAGTGCATCTGCACCAGCGCTGGTGTCGTCGGGGGAGGGGGAGGGAGAAAAGAAGGGAATCGTTGCGCGCACTGTTCTTACGGAGTGAGGAGGAACATCGGGAAAAATGAAATTCACTTATACACCCTATCCTAGTCCACCAAGTTTTAGATTTGAGGAAAGAACTAGGAGAGGGGATTGCTGGCTGTACAGGTTCCCCGCCCAAGAATTTCCTCACCCCATTCCCCCTCACGACGATACCAGCGCCCCTGGAATATATGGGTAAAAAGTCATTCAAAATTGGCTAGGATAACTATGTGAATGGAGACACCTAGCTTCAAGACCAAATAGCAGTACCACGGGAAATAGAAACCTTGAGGGAATTAAATTGACAGAGTATAGAAACTAGAATTGCAATCCTCTTTAAACCACCAGCCGGACAATACTGTTTCCCGATTTCTACAAATCCTTCTGATCCATCTGTATCGTATGCAATAAAGTCAGAGAGCCCAAGCGATCTGGCGCTGCTCATTTCCAACCCGGAGGAGATGTCGGTCAGACTCTGCGATTGCATCGCGCGATGCAGTCGCTCTGCCTAGAGCGATTGGCATCGCTCCAAAGTGCGAGCGACGGGAGATTTACCCGAGCGGCGCCGTGTGTATCGGTCGTCGGCGGGGTAAATCTCCCGTCGCTCGCTCTAGGCAGAGCGACTGCATCGCGCGATGCAATCGCAGAGTCTGACCGACATCGAAGGCTTCACTCTACCTTTCAGAAGTAATGTATTCGTCCAAACTCACTCTGAACATTGACCGACATCAACGTATTTGTCCAGGGGCTCATTGTACAAAGAGAGCAACTGCAACCATTGCGACAGAACTGCCGGCTGAGTTGCACTAAGCGAGCGAATTGACAACAAGTCAGTCTCCTTTAGGTAAACTTGTAGTGATGCTGACAATTTCGGATAACTCTCTTAACAGCAAAACATTAAGTGAAGTAGCCACAGTTCGTTCTTAGAAATACAATATTCAGATAAACCAACCGGCTTTGAAAACGTTGACTACTAATTGAAGGAGAAATAAGACGTAGTCTATGAGTACGTCATTAGCTTTGAGAGAAATTGCAATACTTGCCACCATCAAGTCACATATACTGCTGCAACACATATTGATGAACGAAGCTCTCCGACAAGAGGAAAACATTTACAAATATGAATTCGTAGGCCCAACTAACCGTGCAAGCCATTCCAATGGACTAGCAAGCATCTGCTCTGCCCGCATTAACAGCTTTTCTTCAGCGACATTATTCAAAATGGCAAAAAGTAGGGGCACACTTTGTTTCAATTTCACCGCTAATGGGATATCCTAAAACGCAAAAAAGCTATGATAGAGCGAAAGAATCATGAGCTGGTCATTCAACACATGAAACGTCACGATCAGTAGAATGTTCAAACGCACTTCATTCACTATAGAACCTTGAAGCAGTTGAAAAACATTGTCGACAGGCCGATACATAGCGGGCGCCATACAAGAAAATGCAGAGACGACAGCGAACACAGAATGACTGAGGGCTGATTCGGAACAATCCGTTGAATAGTCGGAATAAGCAGCGAAAAAATCAACGGATGTAGACGACCACCTGAAGAATATAAAATAGATAGGAAAAGATATTCACAGTGCATTGCTAAACGCATAAGCCGAAAAAACTCTCTAAGTTAGCCAAACGCTCACTTCTGAAAAAAAAACTGTTAGATTTGGCTTGAAAGTTAAATTTCTAAGGCATTGCCCTTGCTGATGTATTCAAAGCAAAAGAGAAAGTGGCTACCGGCCGATCAACCTCAGAAGTAATCACCAGAGAAAACCTGATAAACCTTCTAAACAAGAACCTTCAGATATCCGCCCCAAAGCGGACTTCTTTCCATGCCCCACCTTTGGCTCCGCGCCACTTACCTTCGATTGTCCATAGAGTGTGGTTTTTGTAAGTTTGTTTCTCTGAATCTTTGTGCGTGAAACTTTGTATGTGTCTCTAGTGATCACAACTGACATATGCGTGTTGGTAAAGAACGCAAGATTTTTCCGGAAAGGATTCCTTCAATCTTTTTTGGGCGGCTATACTGAACTGGGAGTTTTGCAAATTTGATACCCAACAAGGATGGCTTCGAACTTTCCATGTAATTCAGGACAGAAATCCATGTAAGACGATAAGGTCAAGAACACTATTCACAAGTATGAAGACCTGCTAAGTGGATTTTTCAAGCAAGTCGAAAGCTGTCACCGGTGCCAAGAAATGCAGCAACAAAGCACACTGAGGAGCCAAACTGGCACTACCTAAGTCTGTGTCGAGTGTCCTATTCGTGGTCAGGCCATCTCTTTTTCACTTTCGGAAAATTCCGGATAAAGTTAAAAATGCTGACGCGAATAGATCGCTACATATACTGCAACTGCATTTCCTGCCAGTTTTCACCGCTCACAACTTACCTGGAAAGTCCATGTAGCAGTTTATCGCCATACTTGTGAACAGTATTCCTGACCCTATCGATTGGTACGCTTCATTTCTTACTGCCAGCCATGTCGTAATTGCTGATCAGTAGCACACGTAACACACATGGGCACCAGCTAACATCAGAAACATCGGAAAGCATATTTTTCGAGGCCGTTGCCATGTATCTTACAGAGGGTTTTACACCATTTCCTTCTTGCGCCCGCAGCAAACAGTGCAACAGTGGTGGCCAACAATCTGCTGCACCAAAAACCTGCTATTTTCGAATTAGCCACTTCGACAGGTGCAAAGCTCACCTGTTTTCGTCATTTCTCGATGCATGAAGAAATAGAGTCCACAACAATAGTGTACCTTGACTTGCCATCGAAAACAGCATTTTCGATCTCTTTCGAAAGGCGGCATAGATGATGTCGCCTTCCATGCGTTGTGCGTACAAGATCTCCAGGAGAATCACTTCGACCGCAGATATTACTAGAAAATGAACATGGAAACAAAGGGTAATTGTGAAGAATCCATTTAGATACGAACCTTCTTTGGCGTTGTTCGGAGCAGATTTTTCGATGAGTTCTATGGCCACTCGTGAGATTTGGTCATATTTGATGACGTTCGTCCTTGCCAACACAATTAGATAAAGAGCTATCTGTAAAACACACATACACATCAGCTGCTAAGATACCTCTCACATAACTGAAACTGATAAAGCGACTGAACAGTAGTTTGAAGAAGCAAAGATGGGAACAAAAAACACATGGATTACAAGCAAAAATGCATAGGATTCTACTGCTTGTTTAGTTCTCTCGTGCTAGCAAGCACTGTGCAGGAAGATGATTGCCTGGATAACCGCAAACACCAAACAATGAATGCTGATGCCAACCTAAGCCCACCAATGATTCGCGGCGTTTGCTGAGCCAAAAAGATCAAACGCTGAACCAAAAATCTGAAATACCTCTATCAACAGTTCCTTATTGCCTGTACCAGGATCATACAGTTGTGTGGTAACAGCTTCGAAAAGAACCTTTTTTGGATCAGCCATTGCGTAGATAATACCATCTCTTGGTAACTCACACATAACGCCAAGAATCTAAATCGATTAGCAAAAACATTGATTTCAAACTACAGCATTGAACCAAACGTTCAACTCACTCTCAGCAGCACACATAATAAAAAAGCAGAAGCTCGAAGAGCGCATTATTTAGCTTACTCGATTGAATTCATCGATCCGATCAGGGTGCAGCATTGTAACAGAACAATCGAAAAGTTGAAAACTGGGGTGCCTCAGACTGAGAGGACAACTATTAGATTGTCTCAAAAGTTCGTGCGTATTTTTTGGATCTCATGCCACAAGCTCCTTCAGCAAATTCTAAATATGTTCACGTAGGCTGTAGAGAGGGCACAACTTGCAGTAACTTATAACCGAATCATGCCCACCTAGTCGCCTTCTTCGAGTTCAAAGTGGAAAAGAAAAGAGCTATGTTTTTCGCGCTCTGACTCAAGAACTTCTACTGAGCCACAAACCGATTGAAGCCGGAAGCGGCATCTGCTTTGCGATACATCTCCTTGTCCTTGCCAGCCATGAGGTATCAGAATGGATGGATCTTCTTTGCTCAGGAGACTACAGCCGGTAGAAAAATCCTTGTTCAGGAGGCCATCGGTGTCGGATTTGGAGAGCCTGCGCTCTCGTGGGAGCCAATCCACACGGGTAACCTGCTATGTGGCAACCACACCCTGGTGTTTCAGATGCACAGTTCATAGAGGTTCTCGCTCCTTCGTAAAAGGGTTGAAGCTTTGCCAAAGATTCCCATGAATTGACCACTGATGACAGGAGTGCGACACGAGTTCCGTCTATAATTTGTTTCCTACTCCACCCGTACGCCCTGGTTGAACAAAGCCACTACTGCAGTTGAGAAGCTCAGGTTTCATGACAACCACACCTAGAATCCCCAGGGACTGGATCGAACAGAAGAGGGTGAAAAGTGAAGAAATTCACCACAAGGTCGTGCTCCACCTTTTTTGGAGCGTTCTCGAGTTAACCACTAGACATCTTACTCACTACAGCACTGCAGTCAGCCAAGTCTATTGTGATCAACACCAGAGACTCACGACAAAACTACAACAACTGTACTCGAAAAAGTGGGTCCGCCTGAAGATACCCGAGACGACGCGCTTGTCGTTGCGTCCTACCACATCCATCGTGCAGCGGTGCCCTCTTCCGAAGACGTGTGCTCTTTTTGCTTAGCGCTCGTCTTCCACACAACACGATTCCCATGGGCACCTCGAAATCGACCTCACTGCCTTTTTCAGCTCGTAACTGCCAGCCTTCTGAGAGTTAAGCGGCCACTCTTCGGTTGGATGTTGGCAACAAGTCACTGATAGTGGTGGTGCATATGATGATAGATAATGCATGTGCTTGAAATAGAGTAGGCTCAAAAAAGTTCAAAATACGCACGAACTTCAGAGACAACCTAATAAAAAGAGGAATGGAACCTCCTTTTCCCACCTCTGCCGGTCTGGACAGTCTTTTCGCCTCATGGGATGTTGGCACGAAACTAAAGAATGAAGCGCTTGTTTTAGAACAGTACGGAACTCGTAGGCCTGCTCGTTACATGACAACGGACACGTGTTGTGAAAGCGAGAGAGGGTTAGGCCCCGCAAGGGGATAAAGGGTAGGATCCAAAATGGTGCACAAAACTTAGTTATGAGGATAAAAATTGATTTACGACCAAAAAGAGGAGAACAATAAACGATAAACTTACCGCGCGTTTACATGGAATGGACTGAAATGCTCCATACACTTGTAGCAACACTGTGACGAAACCTTCGAATAGTTCAAGCGCTGGCGCGATCTCGTTGGGTGGAGGATTATGAATACGAGAAAGCATGTCCGTTTTGAGCCAACCCAAGCTCCTGTAAATGCAATATTGGAAACCCTCAACTCTTCAAAAAAAAATGAAAAAAATGAATGAAAGAAACAAGAAAATGAACAACTTGAAATTCACAGCACCGTTTCTTACCGTGTAATGAATGTGTCCATGTACTCCTTTCGGCTGACAAATGCAGAGAACAATGTGAACTCATTCGCATAACGAAGATACAGCATTTCGGCTTCATCTCAAAATTTTCAAGTTGGTTTGGTGAATCTTTGCGCTAAATTTCCACAATGCACGGTTTTACAGTAACAGCGATAGTCACTTCGTCACTGCAAACTCACTCAACGGAGGGAGTGGATCCTTCATTTTCATTGAGTGGAGAACGTCCAGATTGATGTTAGCCGTATTCTTCCCAAACACAACTTTAAAAAGCTGATGCAGCAACGTTGTACAACCATCTGGACACACTTCAAAGGTCACCTTAATAAGGTGTTGATGGTCGTGTACAGAAAAAGCAGTTAAATGAAGCAAGTTGTCGGAACTGGCTGTCGTCGCCACCAAAGTAAGCAGTAAATGATCCTCACCTTGACATACAGCAAAATTTCTTGAAGTAGTGGGCGCATCTGCGAGAAGGTTAACATTTCGCAGATGGTTCCTAGGCAGTCAAGGGCAGCTCGGAGTAGGAAAACAAATCGGAATTCAAAGTCACGGTCGAGACCTTCCTAGAATGACGGCGCTTAGAATACGAAAAAACTCGAATTAAACAAGAATTACTGTAAATAACATGAAGGAATCAAAGCATTCGTCACTGGAGAATTCACTAGCTTGTATAGTAAGTAAAATGTCTGGACGAAAAATTGTGGAGAAAAAAAAAGAATTGAAACCCACCAAATAGTTCCGATGAGCTCCCTCAACACTGTGAAAGACTTGCTTAACGGTGGGACACTCCAAATAACTAGTTTGTAATGTTGGATGAATACTGGTACCCAACAGCCTCGAGATATCAGCAATTCGTGACGGAGACACTTTTTTCGCTGGCAGAGGAGAAAGCGTTGGACGCGATAGAAGTGAGGTTGATGATTGTGCCAACACCGCACGATATTCAGCTATCAACGAATAATACATATTTAATACCCTACAAAAAACCAGATTATGACCTCTTAACTGGAGATGCTTTCTTTTAGGTACCTCAAAGGCATCAACAGTAGCCGGTCAAGAAGTAGTTGATCAGGAAGGCGAGGGAGAGTCATTCGATCCACAGTTGCTTGCTCTTGTACTATGTTCATCATGTGACTCTCACAGTATCCTAGATGAGAGGGACCTCGAAGCAAACTCGCAGAATATAAGGTTGGACAACAGTACAAGGAGGGCTAGGTTAAGAACATACCAGCAAACAACGCAGCCATAACCTTCAATCCATCCGCTAACTTATTAGGTGTATTCAAACTGATCTCACATAATTCAAGAACTGTAGACAGGAATCCACAAGAGGATGAGGGCTGCCTGTAAGGTGTTGCCTTAGCAAATCGGGACTAAGATGCAAGCAACAAACAGAATGTCAGCTCGTCTGAAGCCCTCTACTTTATAACGAAATCTCCAAGAATCAGAGAAAATTTACGTACATGAGACATACTTGGCAATGTATAAAGGAAGTAACAGTAAACGCACTTGCTCAGGCATCCCCAGCACTCTGGGAATACTGATGCCGGAAACGCCTTCAGCAACGCATCCATAGTGGAACAGAGTCCAGCCTGTATAAGCAAATACTATATAAAAAAATGAAAAAAGAACTACGCAGTAAGAAGTGAAAAAGTAATAACTGAGAACCTCCAAGACCTTGGAGAGCCGAAAGTTATGGAGAAGGGAGTTAAAAAAATTATCTGGCATAAAAAGCATACTATGTAAGAAGAAAGCATACGATGTGAGAACAAACGAAAAATGAGGAGTGCAGAATCCAATAATATAGTAAATGCCTACCGAACGTTCATGAACATTCATGCTGAAGTAGTCGATCAAAGTGTAGAGAATCACTTCTAGATTGGATTCCACCACGAAATCAGCACACTCACCTCGAAAACGAAATTCACGCGGCATGTTCAGTACCTTGAAAAGGACAAACTAAATGTTTCAAAGGGACACTTGCAGAACTATTGAAAACACTGCGGCACTCACAGCTGGCAAACAGTCTTTCTCAAGTGAAATCAAGTCCTCAGGTATCCGTGTGGCGAATACACCAGAATATTCAGTGAAATCCGCATTCTTTACTAATCTAGAAAACTTCAGACAAAATCAAAAATCGAATGCTGCTCTCAAGAAAAAGAGCTAGACTCACCGTTCTAGACCCGCCAGAGCAGCTTGAGATACTTTTTGATCGTCCGAGAATAGCAATTCAAAATAGGCAAGTAGACATCGCTCTTGCCATTCCAGTTTTACTGCACTTTTCATTAAACTCCATCGTAGAGAGCTGAGAAATTCCGCGCAGGTCACCTAAGTTGCTTAAATCTAGAAATCAAAGGGCCAAATTCTTCAACACGGCAGAAAATTTTCAGTGTAGTTACCTTCAAAAGGAAAAACGTAGAAGTCACTTCTGTTGTAGCCAGATAAAGGGCTTCTGGAAGAATACCAAGAGCCTCGAGAACATGTTGTTGCCCTATTGCAGCTTGCAGAACGGAACGCTTCCGTATCGGCTGGAATGCCCTCATCACTCTACGGTAGTTGTGAGCGTTGTCTGAAATCTTTCTGGCACTTATCAAAAGCGAGCCAATTGAAAACAACGCAATTACAGAGCCATGAACGACAAGGATAGCATTGAGCGAAGAAGCATGAACATTTGCAACCGTGTCGTTTTCTTAGTCAAACCTATCTTCATATGATAACATTGCCATCATTGGAAGAAAACGTATTGCAAATTCACTGTTGCTAAATGATGACCACGGGGCTACACTGAGAGACATGAACCTCAGGCACAACGCTACCCAACCCTTCTATTTGCAGGAATAACCAAATAATCCCGCATCCTCTCGCAAGCCAAAATCGCTGTTATTCACTTTCCTGGGCTATCTACATCATTCCAAAACCATATGAAAAGTGAGTCTGTAGCCCTTTTGTTGTCACACATATCTAAGTTCGCTGCGACCCCATCGTCCTCACTCACCAGCTGCACTATGTTGTCCTGGACACAGAACTTTGGCCGACAATTTTCTCACATTCATAAAAGTTCTTGGCCCTTATGAAAGAGTAAGTAGAAAATCAAAACACATCAAAACCTACCGGCGGCCCCCGACTCATATTTGTCTAAGCTGAACAAAAACGCGACTGTAGATGCACATAATTGATCATCATCATGAAGTACAAATCGAGAAACTTCACTCAAGCTCTGCTCAAAATCGCCTAAAAAGGATATTTGACATAGTGTCATAACGTAATCAAGTAAAAATTTGGAAAACCGAGATAGTACAGTGATGTAAAACACATACCAAATAGAAGGGTAACCTTTGAAAGGTCTTCATGTTTTGTTATAGTAGTGATACAATTTAGTGCAAGGATTTTGTGAGATATTCGTACATCACGATCGCTTTTCAAGCCCTTCAATCCAGCCAGTAGAAACCGCTTTCCTAGTACTGCAGCCGTATATACGAAACAGTTAGCGGAAATATCACCTCAAAAATACGATCACAAGGAGTGTAAGCGAATAAACAAGTTACATTAATACTGCAAAAGACCTACAAACGTCCAAAGGCAAATGCTTCAATATTCCTACAGAATCATCAGGAGAAGTGGATAGCAGTGAAGAATTTGGATCGGCACCATATCGATCGCACTTTGTAACCTCTTCGTAAAGATCCGCATGGATCAGCGGATCAATGATTTCGTCTTCAACTGCAGGAGACTGCAATGTACTACTGTAACTAGGACAAGCATAAGTGCAATATTTAAGCAAATGAAATCCACTCTCACAGAATCTTACCCGTTCTCATAACTTGTGAGTTATGTCCAGATTAGAACGGGGTCGCGTCCTGTGCGGAGCTGGTTGCTTGTGTTGATAAATAGCGTTATTCGCGTTCATAACTGTCAAAGGATCTCATACGCGACTATAAACAATGCAGACCCCTACATAGCATGTCGATCCGCCTTTAGACTGAGCTCATCGATCAGTTCGGTGTCTTGTCAGCGCATGGAGAGTGAACATGTTCTTTCTCAATCAAAAATCGAGTTTGAGGGTTCGTTGCGTACAACTTATGGAGGTGCAGTAGCTAAGGGAAAAGCACTGATGCAGTTGGCCTAAGCAATGCTTACGTGACAGCCATCTATTCTGCAGATCAAAAGGAGATATCCTGAACATCTTCAGTGAACTTGTACTACATGTATGGGATACCCTTTCCTTGTTTGCTCCTCGAAAACTTCGCTGCCTATGTGAGTCGCGTGAGGCTTGCTGAGATAGCCGTAACCAAGTCAGAGAACACGGAGATAGAAGTCTCGTACGAGAAGCTGGAGAGCCAGTGCAGAGAGCTTTGTCTTAGACTAGCTGAAGCACGGCCTCAGCACCGAGTTACGCATGATGTATGGGCGGTAAAGAGTGTAAAAAGGAGCAATGGCACCATCCTGAGAAGCTCAATCGAATTCAAGGGAAGGTGGAAATAGTATCAGTGGTCAGTTCTGTTGCTTCCTCAACAAATACAGCGTTGAGGAAGCAACAGAACTGACCACTCCCCAAGTGGAAGAAAATAAATAATTTCCATATCGCTGTAAACAGATGATGGGGTTCGTCGAAAAGTAATGTAGATAAAGGTTGAGAAGGTTCAGATGATACCGAATGCGGCACAGAAAGAACTTGGAGAGTACGGGATAAGATGGCTCACCCGACTTCCTGAACACGGAAACTACGGAAGGAAATAAGATGGGAGCAAGTACTATCGTCCCCATCTTCAAGCAGAAGGGTGACGCGATGGACTGCTCCAACTACCGCGGGATCAAGTTGACTGCTCATACAATGAAGCTGTACGAGCGACTGGTCGACTCGAAACTGCGGGAGCTGGTCCCGATCTCCCAGGAACAGTTCGGTTTCAAAGGTCTACAACGGATGCCATCTTCATCGCTGGGAAATGAGGAAGAAGTATCGAGTAAATCGCCAAGTCTGCTATCTAGTCTTCTTCAATCTGACCGTTTGTTGCGAGCAGTACTATGACGAGCTGTGAAGGGAACGTACCAGAACACCTGATCTCTCCTTGGGAGGACATGTGGGACAAGACCTAGGCGACCCCACTCGGCCCAATAAAGAAGATATACGTCCCGGTCGGGGTGCACCAAGCATGGCTTTGAGACCGTTTCTCTGCCTTCTTGCACTGGATGCCATGGTGCTCATGACCACTGTAGACCATCCTCTACGCTGACGACATCGCCCTGATAGCGGATAGCGAGAAAAGAACTACAGGCAAGGTGCAGAAATGGCAGGAACGCTGGCAGAAGGTGGGCTTCGGCTGAATGTCAAGAAGACCAAGTTCCTGAGTTCAAGATGCACCGATCGTGGACGGCCATGGAGAAACCATCGAAAGAGTGGAGGACTTCCGATACCTTGGGAGCGATCTGGCGCCGACGGCAGTGTGGATCAGGCAGTAAAGGCTCGGATCAACGCGGCATGGATGAAATGGAGGGAGTCCACTGGAATCCTCTGCGATCGAAGGTGCTCCAGAACGCTCAAAGGGAAGGTGTACCGAACAGTGGTAAGGCCTGCGATGCTCTACGGCAGCGAGTGCTGGCCCCTGAACAAGAACCACGAAAGGCAGCTTCACTCCGCCGAGATGAGGATGCTGAGATGGGCCTGCGGCTGGACGCGACTGGACAGGGTCAGAAACGAGGATGTCAGAAGGTTAACATGGATACGTGTTAAGAGGCGCAGGATCATCGATTAAAAAGTAATACACTCCAAGCGACCCCGGGAAGCTCCAAAGGAAAGAGACGTAACCAAGAAGGATAAGCGAAGTCAAGGTTGGCGACGAGTGACAAAGACAGCGCATCTTGCGAGTACGCGAAACTAACGCCAGGGAGAGAAAGAAGAGCACTTTCACCCTTTCCTAGTTCGGTATTACTTTAGCGATAGCGTGGGAAATGTAGTTGTTCGGATTTCGAAATATCATTATCAAAAATAGAATTCAAATAGCATCTGTCGAACTCACAGAGCTCCCACTACTAGACGGGCCATCAGAGCGATCCGGCAACAGCAAAGGCACATTAAACTCAGCTATCCCTTCAGTAGACTCCGCTACGTCGAACATAGAGCCCAGCGAAGAGGGAGGAATTGACTCCTCACCTGAATATGAGAACAACGTAGATAACACCTTCTGAACGAGAAGTTGTAAAGATATACCTCGACTCGGTGATGTTGTCCTAGATGGGCGTTCAGAGCCCACTAATTTAGATCGGAATGAAGGCGTTACGTCGAACTGCAGAGGAACGAACTCACGTATCCAGCTACACTCAATACAGATCGATTAACTCGGAAACCAGAAATCAAAGAGACACCAAAACAACCCACTCCAATGGCTTTGTCATGATTTTTTCCAGAAGCTCTATACTTGGAACAACCACTTCACTGTGGGCTGAATGTAGGCAACACAGCACACTACAAATTACCTGAAAATCAAAAATATGTGAAACACTAGAGCAGAAAATCAGCTAACTCACAATTTTCATATTATCTTGCGTGACGGTACATCCAGGCTCTGAAAGCAGCGGCCAAATAGATTTCAATGTGTTCAGCGAACCTATCAGTCTTGTCCTATTCGCAACATCGTCAGCATCTCGAACATTCACCATACATCTCAGAAATGCCTAAGGTAACTTTTTTCCCTTCAAGCGTCGGACAATTCAGACTAAGAAAATCTCGATATAAACCTTGTTCATCACCGAAGGATAATAGGTCGAGATCTGAGCAATCACCATGACAGCAGCTCGATTAGCAGTGCCGTTCAGATCGAGATTCTCCGCTGCCACACAGTATAAATCCTGCAAACTTCGAGTGCACGGACGAAATAACCCTTCTAAGAATAAGAACTGAAGGAGACGGAGAAAATAGGGCTTACGTAAGCCTTTTCGCAGTGTTGACTTCGCATTCGTGGCCCTAGTGTGTCGAAGAGCAACCCCCCATAAGTCACTATGGCATTCTGTATCGACTCTTCAGGCCTTCGTAGCATAGCTGTCAGAGCAGAAAGAATATGAACGCCATAACTTCTAGAAACGTCGGAAAATGATCGATTTTTAGGAATTGCCTAGGCAAACTGGACTCACACGACACGATTACATTTGCTGAAGTGAACAAGTTGAGCAAGACGGCGGAATGCACAAATAATAGAACGAGCTGCTACATTTCTACCAATTTCAGTAATTAGTAAGACGAGCACACGTGAATGGTAGAAGCCGAGTAAGAGACTCTGGAAAGTGGAGCCGCTGAGGAGGTAGGGGCAGAGAAAAGGAACTGTCGATCAGCGTTCAGATCTATTTTTGTTTTTCTAACTGAACCATCTACCAAAAAATCTACCAAAAAACTTAATCATCTGCCAAGTATTCTAAAACAGACGCGTTCATACTCAACGTTTTGGAAGATCATAAGGTCAGAAAATCAACAGTGCCGAAGAGATTGACAAGAGATTGGTAGTCTCCGGTCAGATCAAAATACAAACATAATTTTTGTTGAATACTCTGCTCTACACTCCCTAAAAAATACATATCACTCCCATTATGTCCTGATCTCCTACTCGAGCAACGTTGAGCGTGAGGGTGGCTTTAATTATGATATCACATAGTAATATAATCACAAAGAGAAACAATGAAGATATTCACCCTCAAGACTGCATCTAACGATTCCTCTGCATAGGTTCTAACGTCCTGATCTATATGATTAACCATTTTAAAGACCACCTCTACGGCTTTGGTCAACAAGTCGCCATAACGACGATCAGCCTGAAACATGTTCTGATTCCAAACGTGCGGAAAAGGCAAAATAAATAGGCTAACAGTAAGGATCTCGAAAGACACCATACCTTATATAATGTATTAAAATCATTTGAAATGATGATCCCTCTGAGTTCGGTACAGGCATTTCGTTCCTTGTCGTAGGAGGCCGTCTTCCTGGAACCACTGGGTCACTTAAGAACAAAACAGCGCCCTCTATGATTTCCGGGAATGGGACCTAATGAAGCACTTGAAGAAGTGGCAACGACCACCAACATTCCCACAACTAACCGTAGGATCCCCCTTTGTCCGAAACGAATACTTCACTTACCTGTGGAAAATTTACTATTCAAAACAGTACCTGTTGGCTGGAACAAGATCATGTGCCTTGAGAGCGCTTTCCAAAGTACTGATCGCCTTTTCGAGGCGTTCCACTTTGGCTGCCGCCATTTATGAATAAACCCAATTTGAGTAACTGTTGGCTGATGGAGATATCTAAAACAAATTAGATTTAAACACCGGTGCATAGGTGAAAAATTGCGGAAAATTTCCGAATTCTAAAAAATATATCACTACTCTATCAAATGAAATGAACAGAATTTAAATACATGCTTAAATTGGTATGACGTTTTGCAAAGCCGTGGGCGTGCAATTACGTACATTAGAGTACACTTGACGGCTCCATGCTCTCCGTCGAGAGGCTAAAGCGCAGATCGTTGGGAAATGACGGCTACAACAGCTCCTAACAGTGCCAAATCGAGGTACCAGGGGAAAAGAAGGAATGGAGGGGATGCGACACTTCATATCGTTACAGTGAGGGGGAAGGAGCATGTGGTGCGATAGTTCCATATCGCTAAAGCAATCCAATCTTTGATGAGACCGTATTAAGGCGAATGAGCACGAGTTCAGATAGGGGCATCACATTGACGCATTTCAAAGGAACGAGTTCAAGAGTACACGACAGGAAGTGTACCGTGCGGTAATTGGTTGGAGGCCTGTGGCCTGGCTTGTTACAGAACTTCCGTAAACCAATGTTTCTCTAGCTGGGAGGCCAGATTTGCCTACAGTCCGGACCAGGATCACCCGCCCATTGGTCAAAGTCCGACGAGGTAGAGGGGGAGGGTCGTACGAGCAGGGGTCAGCATCGCAATGAGTGCAGATCTCATGTGTATAGGTGCGCAGGCGATGTCTAAGGCTACGAGGAACCTAAATGAATAAAAAAGCGTCACCAACTAAAAAAGCTACGAAATTACAAAGTATTGAACAGACGCGATTAGAGCTCGCAGCTTTAGGCGCAGGCTTACAACATTAACAATTAGAATCAAGGCGGTTTGCTGTTGCGATTGTAGATGAGGGTATGTCTTTCGAGTGATTCTCTAACTCTTGACCATAATCGAGTGCATGGCGTATCTCAGAGCAGAAGTAGTTCCGGCAATCCGGTATGTATTAGATTGTTCACCGGCAGAAATGTCGCTCCACAGGAAATCTGAGCTCTTGGGCTATGTCTTTGTAAGGGGAAAAGCAACCACTTCGGGGAAGTAACATTTCAAGGCTCACATGAAAAGTTCAGAAAAAGAAAGACTTGTGTGGGTGACTTTTCAGAGTGAACAGTACCTACCTGTTATAGAATTTGCTTTTGTTTTTGTTTTTCTTTCTGTTTTTTTTTCTCAGTTTGCAAAACTTGTAGTTTACTAAGGTTCACCTCATTCCACAAAATTGGATTTGAAGAGTATTGTAAGCAGTCGAGTGTTAAAAACTCAGGTATTCACAAGACAGCTCGAAAAGCTATAAGAGAGAAAGACCAACGGGGCTGTCTTTGACCCGATTGATTTTGAAATGAACTCTAGGATATTTTAGGGAGCTCTGACCTCTTCATACGAATAAAAATGTTGAAAATGTTGAACATGAAGGAGGTTATAGCAATTCAAAGCCAAAAAATCCGCGTATTCACAAAACTTGCAAAAAAGTACTTATCCAAAAGCAAACTATTTGGAGTTTGGGGACTTTTTCACCAATTCTCACAATTCAACGTTCTATTGATGATTCCCTGAGCACCATTATTTCAAACGATAAATGCAGATGAAGACTGCACTTTCTCATAACTTCACTGATGAGTTTCGGACCTAACCCTTTTTTAGATCAATTGAAAACCATCAACAGGTGAATCCCAGAACGTCGTCCTATAGGAAAGAAGCGAAGGGGAGGACGAGAAGGTTGACAGCAGAAAAATGAGGTAATGCTACGTGGGTTTTTAATGGGCTGAGAAGAAAGAGTGTTCAATCAAATGTCTTTCCTCAACCGATTCAGAGCCCGCGTAGCATCCTCCCCTTCATATTTCTGCTGTCAACCCTCTCGTACTCCTCCACTGCTTTCCTATAAGACGACATAGGTAGCATACATATCCTCCCTTTCAAAAAACGAGAAGAGCGTCGGGTGCAGACCATACACCACAAGTGACGACGGCCTCCAAGTAAATCTGGTTAGTAGTGGTTCATAGTGATAGCTGATTTTTGGTAAATGATAGTTGTAATTAGTGACAACTGATAGAATACAACTGCAACAGGCTAATCATTTCATTGGCAGAAAACATTTACATTTTGTGGAGGCCGTCGTCACTTGTGGTGTATGGTCTGCACCCGACGCTCTTCTCGTTTTTTGAAAGGGAGGGTACATATTGACAATGTTTCATTTGCTGTGTTTTACTTTGGTTAGAATTCTTGGAAATGTGGTCGATGGGTACACCGATTTCACCGGGTGGACATCTGCACATGTACTTCTCGTCGCACAGTAGCAACGATAGGCCGCGGCATGTGGCCATTGGCGAAGACAAATGGACCGTCTGCTTTAACCATATGCGAAAGCAGCAGCGGTTTGGAATATGGGAAAGTGGAGTTTCAATGCCTTGACCTGACAACTATGGGGGAATGGTGATGTTGTCAAACTTTTGGAATTTTGACGGTATTTCCCATGGGTGATGTTCTGTCTGCAGGATTGACGATGACAAGGGCTACCCGCTGCTAGCTGCTCGGAACGATTGCAGGAAAGCTTCACGGAATACAGCGACAAGTCAACCTGCTTCACGACAACGCGCAACGTCGCGGGTCTTCGGTCTCAAGCCACAAGATTCTCAAGCCAGGCTGGACCGCGGTTGCCCGTCTGCCATATTCGTCAAACCTATCCATACACGTCTTCCACCTTTCCTGCTCGCTTGCTCATTACCTGGAGAACAGAAAGCTCGACGACGAGAAGGAGCGCAAATCCGACTTCAAAAGGTTGTTTGACAAAAATTCTCCTAATTTCTACAAATGTGGTGTCAGCCAATTGCCCGAAGGTTGGCGTAGTGTTGCTAAGTCTGATGGTCAATATGTTCCGGGTCTTAGAAAAATAAAGGATAAAAAAATAATTCAAAATTTTGGCTGTGGGGTGTTTCAGAACTTTCTTTCCAACCTAGTAATATTCGAAGAAAATCGACCCAGATGAATAAGTGAGGAGTCCGAAATTCTCCACATCACAACAAAGGGAGTATTCAAGATACTGCACGACCATGGCAGTTTTTTGAGCGGCTTTGTAGATTACAAATCTACTTAAATTTCGGAAATTCCAAAAGACATCAAGTCCGAAGAAAATTACACTCATTGGCAGCTTACTAGTTTTAACAGTCCCTTTCCGACATGGTAAGAGCGAGAGATTGTGCGCGACAGTACAAAGCACTCGACATTGCCGGAAGGATGGGAAGGCTTGGTTGGCCCGACTCACGACCCAGGATTTGATCCCCGGACCGCTCGCGTGGTAAGCAGCGCCACTTGCTACTACACCACTTACGCCCAAAGTGGTGATGAGATCACCTACGCCCCTAGGTGAAAAGTTTTTATCAAGCTATTCCTTCCCTTACATTCACATTAAGCATCACTCATGATGCAATCTTTTCCACATCGCTTTGCAGTCTGGAGATGCTGTGATATAGAAAGCCTCCTTTGAATGAAATGAGCCAACCATTCGCCACCAAACTTCCGATGAGTTGAAAAAGTATCTACATAAATGAATCATGGACGGGTTTCTTGAGCCTATCGGGTATGCGGCGCATTTCAGATAACCGCCTCAGTACTATCACAATAAGTATAATAGTAACTGATATGGTTGGCTTCAACTAAAGTGGAGAATTTGTTGTCGAAAATCTCGACCCTTTTCTTCCCGAGAGAATTTCCTCAGGGAAATTACATAACGCTTCAGTGAAACAGACGCGCCGCACAACTCCTGGACCTCACTCCTAAACCGGAGATTTCTCGAAACAAGGCTTGGAATTTGTCCTGGACTTAACGGGAAGGTTTACGCTTTGTTTGGAAATATCAAAGAGAGTTTGGGCTGGGCTAACTCTCAACAGTTTATGCCTTCAGCTCTGACATTTATGACATAGCTGTTGATGTAGATGCATACCAGCACTAATACGAGTAATCTTGGATATGTGGAACGTAGCGGTGCCACCATCGTGCTGACTTTTTTGAATGCTCGCCATGTGCATGGCGCAACCCAGTAAAGCGGATCACGGCATGTTTTTTCAACTAGTTTGCGGGGCACTGAAAAAGTAATGTTATTGACGGTACATGAAGTAAGTCATATGTTTTGAAATTATGCAATGAATTTATCCCGTTTCACATCATACAATGCGATGTAATACAATATTCAATATACAGATCGATATTTTTCTAATAATAATTTTTTCATTTACGCATTGGCTTGCATTCGTTGCTCAATGGCGGCCGTTGTCTCGTGTTGAAAGAATTTCGTGAGATAGATTGACTCCATCAGGCTCACAACCAACCTTTCGCTAGAACCAAACAACATTAGTTCTTTAGGTTCTTATTAAGGTCCTGAGAAATGAGCTAGAATTAAAAGGTTACCTTGACTTGTGAGGGTCATCCAGTTTCGGGAGGAATTCCACGATTTCTGTGGCGAGGAGTTTCGAGAGGTCCAATGTGAGTACTGCTCGGAGGAACTCACTGGCCACGATGCCGTTCTCGGCCGGTGTACCAACAGCTGGAGCATCGGCCACGTCGAATCCATCGATGTCGATCGACATTCCGAATCCAACTGTATTTCTGCAAATTTTGCACTTTGCAGCACTTGACCCTGGTTTTTTTTCGTCGCCCGTCTTCATCGTGACTTTTCAAAGTTTACTGTTGTAACATTCCGTTACAGCAGTGTGTCTTTAAATGTCATCCAAGAGAACCGGTTCCTAATGAACTAGTGACCAACCTGGTAACCATGTAGAGGGCCTCGTGCATCACTTCAGCGATGCCTCGTCGCTCTACCTCGTCCATATAGAAAATACGTACTCCGAGACGTTCAAGGAGTTCCTGGAAAGTGGTCTTTGAACTTCAATATAGGATTGCATTTTTATTTGCAGTTTATGGCGAACAGAGAATGCCGCTGAAAGGCAGTGATAATGTGTTACTGTAATAATGGCATTGAAGGTTCAAGACGACGATAAAAAGTATGGTTGATTGCGGTGCAAACTAGACAAGAAGGCATCTTTCAAAAATGGTTCACGAGTACGGTAACACGAACCTGTTCACCATTTTCGTAGCTTCGGATACCGACCATGCACATATTGTGAGGGAGGATTTTCGGCAGGCGATCACCGATTCGGATCAGATTTTTGTCGCCGTAGCCGAGCAGATGGGCTACCGGCATTCCATGGATATTGCCGGACGGTGTTGACGAAGGCGTATGGGCATCCTGAACGGGGTTCACTTTGCGACTGAACGATATTATTTGTGCATTGACAATGAGGGAACCAACACTATTAAATTTAAGAACTGGGCTTTTCCACTTTTTTAGCCTTCGCAAAAGTCTATTTTTAATTTCGAAGCAGCTCTCTTCAGTGAAGGAATTCCAGGGAATCTGCGATCAGGGTGAATGTCGGTCGAGGATTCGTCGACAGCTCGTCGAGATTTTCGCCTTTTCAGTCACGCTCTCCCGCGCGAACATTCACTCTCGAAACTACTTTCGCACAGTACAGAGCCATGGTCGAGGGCTTCCTCGACCGTTACTTACCCTGCCTGCGACTGCTTGTTTCATCTACCTTATACTGAAAAACTAAGCTCCATCTATAATCTTGTACTTCCTACTAGATAGTCTCAAGCGAGGAGAACGTACTTGCATTCTTAGCAATAACCTAGTGCTTGCATAGGGCTGCGATTGGTGAAGTGACCACGTCAACCAATCACAAGTACTTTACATGTATTTCTCTCTATATCGTCTCATTCTCAGTGAAGTCACTGCTATTTAATAAATTACGTTTAAAGGGGAAAACGCTGTTTCACTGCGAGATTGCCCAATATCATTTTCACTATTACTCTTCGTTTGTCACCATAACAATCATTTTTTGATACTGCTAGCCTCGGTGCGAGCTAGAGGTGGTTCCTCAGAGCCGCTTTCATGACAAATTCATCTGAAACTCATCCAGCCACACTTATTGGATAAGAGATAGTTTGTCTGTGTCAAATCGCGTTCCCAGGGTTGCCTTAAAGGCACGGGTCGAGATCGGATGGTATTGTACTGCTTGAAAACCAGGAAAGTGTATGAGAAGAAGAGAAGGCGAAAAGGCGTCATAGAAAACACTGAACATTCCCTTGCGGGTCGCCCGTGGTATGACGGAAGGAAAACGCGGGAGAGCACGTCGTACGCGAGATAGCGCAGACGTCACATATGCCGCGACTGGTAGAATGGCAGAGTCGGCAGCGCACTAAGTAAGGCCTTAGCGCCCTTTCCTTTCTTTTGAGTAGGGAAAGAGCCGCGGCTCCTGGTCCTGGAACCCCTCTTTCGCACTTCATGAGAGACTTTCTCTTGACACCTAATCCCGACCCATGACATTAATTGGTGTTTTCCAAGGTGTAGTAGTCTAACCATTGCGTCAGTGGGAAATCTATAAATCCACAACAGGAAATCGCCCGGTGCAATTTCTTCTTTTCCATCAAGGTATCATCTATACATAGTGTAAAGATGAAGAAGGCTGAAGGTTTTAAGGTAACCGCTTGCACCGCTGCAGTGTACAGAAATGGAGACCGCAAAAAGCAAACAGATATGAAGGAAGAGAACGGGTTCCACGACCATTAGCACTTTAAAGATCAGCCTACCATATGTGCGTCGATCCAAATGAGACCGAGATCACCGTATGGTCGTATTGCTGATGCAACCCCACTCCATGTTCCTATCGCACAGCTGTGATCACCTCCCAGCACCAATAGGTCTTCCTTGTTCTCGATAGCGTTCCTCGTATGAAAAGCTAGCTCCCTGCACGTCTGAAAACCGATATTTGAAGATCGAGATCACTGATAAGCTGGTGAAAAAATATGTGAAATATTTGCATCAGCGCGTAACGACTGAACTCCAATCCCTTCAGAAGCTATACTGAGATTTGAGCTTAATGCAGTAGTCTGAAAGTGAACGTTCCCTGCCCAAGGGTGGGCCAGCAAGAGCGTCGAAGGGCCTGACAAAGGCAGCATGATCCCTTACCTCCACCACCAACAGGGTTCCCAACAAGGTTCAGTCTTTACTCCCCTTTGACTGGTTTCCCCCTGTTTGCTCTCGTTTTCACATGCCCCGTCTTGGAACTCTCGAAAATTCATTACTCAAATACCACTGAGCCTCTTCTTTCCATATGTCTGATACTGCTACCACCCTTCAAGAAATCCACCCTGATGAGGTCTCTCCCACTGGCGCTCCTTATCTTGTAACCGTACGGTTATGCAGCACATTTACTTACAGATAATACATTCAGAAATAAAGAGAGCTGTGATTTGGAGGGATATTTCTCACCTGTGTAACACCTGGAAGAGCAGCGAATTGTCGTCCGGTCTCTACTTCTTCGATCAAATTTTTCCAGTGGATAGGAACTCGCAGTTGCGAAAGGAATTTCGAGTTACGTACAACATTCACAGCATGTTCACAGCCAAGATGCCTGCGAAGCTCGAATTCAGAAATGAGCCAGTCAAGAAAGGGAACATTAGAACTTACCTTCCTCCGTTACCATTTGCGCACCCGACAGCGGTTATAACTTGCTGTGCGAGTCCAACAGATTTCTTCATGATGTCTTCGTATGTCTGGAACGGATGTTATGGAAGGGTTATACCAAGAGACTCAGAATCACGAATATGAACGAGTTCAAGTTACGGTATGCGTAAGACTGACTGACATTCGCCGATCACGTTATCGTCCAGCCCCCACGTGGTCACGCCTACACCAAGGGGATACCCTCGTTCTAGAAAGTGTCGACGACAGCGCCGCCTTCCTTCCCATCGCGTGTCAACGAAACGAACCGTTTGTGATCACGTCAAGGACATTTCGTCAGAAAAACGGAAACATCAAAAGTCATCATCGGAATGATACTGTCGTCGCAGTAGTTTAGCGGTTTTAAGTCATTACAAATCAATATCGTAAGAAATGATTTTTCCTGTAGATATAGCGCATTTTTGCCCACTGGCTCTCTTTTCAGCTAGGCTACTGCGGTTATTAAGGGGCTGCTTTACATGCAGTACAATCACATTCGCCTTTACCATTAAATGCGATAAGCCTGTCTAGGAGCGAAATCCTCAGGATGAAATGTATTCCGAATTTGCGCCCAATTCATCAAAAACTAGAAAGGCTTCTCGACTATCGTTGGAAGGACCAAATGGATCAAACCATCAACAATTTGAAATTACCTAGGTACATTAACGACCAGCATTATCATAGAGCGCGACTATAAAAGACGTTCGGGACGGGGCTATCATTCGGTGACCTCGACGGGTGCTAACCCGTGATAAAACACCTTTGAGATGGCACAACGTGAGATGGGAATTCATAACTGAATCTAGAGATCATGTCTTGTGTTCACTTCATTAACCATATTCATCACAACACTAGTCACTGCAGCCTACATAGGTATTGATTTGCAAAAAGTAGTCCGAAGCTCAAAATTACTACATGTGTAACGGTGTTTCAAAGTTCCGCCTTGAAGTCTAACGAAGAGGAAACATATACGTGCAGTGATACCATGGGGCACCAAAGGCTTGTCGAAAAAACTAAAAAAAAATTCTGAAAATTTGCAAAAGAATCCGAAAGGGTCTGGCCACAACCTTGAACGATCCCCTTTAGAGTGGATAGAATGATCTCTTTAGAGTGGATATTCAGAGAGATGTGCTAAAGCTTCCAAAATTAAAAGGAAAAAGCTACCAAAGATAGAAGTAGTGCTAAGAAGGAGGATTCGTTGGCGCTGCAGGTCCAGAATAAGCCTCTTTCCTTATGAATGGCCTTCTGGTGCCCTAGCAACTGCTCCGAGGTCAGTCGGAGGAAGGTAAAGTCAACACAAGCAGCAGACCACAGAGCTATATTGCAGTAGAAAGAAGGTAACCAACCTGTCCGGCCCACCAAGATACAGCACATATAAAAAATATTTGGACACCTGAAATCGATATTTACAGTTCAACTAAAAACTTTTCTGCCAGCAACTTAAATTTTTCATCATTCAACTCAATGTGGTCGCTAACCTATAGTGGTATTTTCGGCAAATGGTTCCGTCCTGTTTTAGCAAGTTTTTGATGAGGTTTTTTTTTGCCTGTAACAAAAATATTTGGACAGTGGATCAAAATTCTGCGCCGATTTCTTAATTTATTTCAACTTTCTCTTTGGTCTAATCCTGCCATTAATCTCAACGGCAAGCATATTTTCGAAGAAGGACAGGCATAGCTTAGGGTACATCATTTCGTTGGACCCTCTAATCGGGAAATCTTGCATCACGTGCGTCTGTGCTGGGAAGCAGATCCAGAATTCGATGCCTACCTCTCGACTCTGACTGACGGTCGTCCTTGAACTTCACCAGCTCAAGCCGGAGCAACAGCCTGTCCTGTCTTAACTTTTCTTCATCGAAAAGCAACGCAAAACTGAAGTCGTCTCCCCATTACGTCAAATTCAACTAGGGTTACAATGAAGCGCTTGAGTCCCAACTGCAGCCTTTTTCGGGAAGCCACCATAGCAAGGCACTTCCTTGACAGCATACCCAACACGTTCATAACATGAGCTCCCTTTGGGACAAAGTCAACCGCAAGTCTCAGCTGGTACATTGGCTATTGTATTCTTCAGACCACGGCCTTATGGAAAGTGTTGGGTTATGGTGGTTCGCTGTCTCTAAGCAATCAAACGAAAGAGTGAACCCCGAGTGATCTGACACATCGGTGAAATTGGCTGGTTGGAAGATCGAGGAGACAGGTTTGGGCAGCCTTATTCAGAGCACGTCGAACAGCTGCCTGAACTCATTCGAAGCGTAGGCCTACCGATTATTGGTCCTGAATATATTTCAATTTTTTGAAAAATGTCCACGTACTTTCTCCACCAATAGAAAAAACGAAGCCGCGTAAATTGAAGGAAAATGAAGATTCTAGGGCTTTCGCGGACGAAAAATTGAGTGGGAAGTGACACAGTACAGAATTCAAAGGTACCTCATAGAAGAAAAAAGTAATAGGGTGACCACGTACCTGAAATACGAACGGTATGAAGTACTGGATAAGGTATGCCGGATAATACTCAACCAGCAAGTACACGTTGAAGAGTCATATTCTCCTCTGCAAAGTCTCACTAACTTTCTGTAGCCGAATCGGTTCTGAAACAGTTCAAAGTGAAACTATGAAAGTGGCTGTTTCTCAACCTGTCAGTTTCGTGACCACGAAGTGACAGTGACACTTCTAGGCGGTTTGCAAACCAGTCCTTCTATACTTAGAATCGCTAGATCATTTCTTAATTGCTTCATCGCTCTCTGTTTCTACATACGTCATGTTCGCTCTCTCCGACCTTTCGGTATTTGGTCTCAATTGAAGAACGATTGATAATTTTCAAGGATAAAGAAAATTTTGAATGAAAATTTTCAGATCGTCAACCACTGCTCATATATGTAAGCAGATCAGAGCTTTCGTACTTTTATCCTTAGTGCGTATGGATCAGAAGTTATCTTGTGTCCGTTTGCTTGTTTGTTTGTTTGTCTGTCTGTCTGCTTGTGTGTTTGTTTGTCTGTTTGTCTGTCTGTCTGTTTGTCTGTCTGTCTGTCTGTCTGTTTGCCTGTCTTCCACAAGTTCCGAAACACCCTTAGGAATTACCTAGTATTTCATGTATTACTTTTGAAAATGAGAAAGCTATTTAATTTTTTTCATTTGTAGTTTTCATTGTTCCTTATTGATTGTTCTGCGCCATATTGCAGTGCATTTGAAAAAAAAATAAAAAAAAACAAAGAAGGGCAGGCCAATATAAATCCTCCGCCTGGGCACGATGTACATAGCAGATGTATAAAACGCAACAGCAACGAGCATACCAAGGTTTCCAGACGAGAGGACTTGGAATTCATAAACAAACAAATAAACCAACAAATATTTATGTTTACAGAAGGAAGACCTTGAAGGATGGATGCAGCAAAATTCATATGAAAAATTTACTGATCCAAGATTCTTGAGGCATCACGGACAACAAAAATTACATCTCACAATAGATCTACACAAAACTGTCATGCAATATTTTAGTGCTTAGAACCTTTGCCAGTTCTGACCCAATGTCTTTTTACTGTAATTAAACAACAACAAACTATACTAAATTAACTTGCAAGTGTTTACCAGTAATTCAGTAGTCCAGAAAACCAACCATCTAGGTCAAAGAATTGGCTTTATTATTAGATCGCATTCTAATTCTTCAGTTTCTGCAGAAAAGCTCCACTTCTTCAGGCTTGTATGATAATCAGGCCTTTGCTCAAGGCCCGAAGGAATCAGTAAATATTTTTAGACATTTTATAGGTCACAAATTGTTTCATCACCTCACAAAAGGTGGAAGGATTCATCTGGGTTTGTACTGTCAATTGAAACACGTCTGACTGATCTCATCACCGTATTATGAGTTTGGCCCTTACTCATCTCTTACACTACGTCAGTCTTCTTTTCATATACTCTTGTTTCGCTACTACCAGCACCTGATAAAGAAAGAATGAAGAAATAAAGAAGAAAATTGGTAATGCTTGCTAACTCCTCCTTTTTTTCCCATGAGGGCAGCATTTAAAAATGCTCCAGTTTTTTGTCTGTGTGCCTCATAGCGCCTGTCAAAAGCTTTTTAAAATTATCACAGTGAACTAGATTTAGCGTCGTACACCGCTTTCACCCTGTAAAATTTTAAATACCCGATGGTTGGTATTAATAGGACTTATCGAGCTAGTTTAGCCTGGATGTACCGCGTAAATACCAATCTTATGGTGAACAGGGTCAAACCGCCTCCGGGTATCTCCGTTTAATCTTTCTAAATAGCTATCCCATGTGCGGTTCTGCGCATGGTGTCGCATATCCCTTTGACAAAGACCGGTGGGTGGGCCCATGAGACCAAAAACCAAACAACCAACAGGTCAACCACGCGGCCTGTTGCGTGGGCCAATTATCTGGGGAATACCCCACCACGCGGAGACATCCCCGACACCTGCTGTTGTGGCCTTGCCAATTCCCACACAATTAAAGGGGCCGAGTATTGGGGTAGCCCTTTCTGAGATTAGCAGTTACGGTAATCGTGACCTTGGCATGTCTAGTGCTCTGGTTACCAGATAACGGAGCCGCCCCAAATTCGAATCAAAGTTCAGTGTTCTGTTTCTAGAATGACCACTATTAACTGCTCTCCAATTGCGATACAGTAACTTGGTTACAAGTGCGAAGTCCTGAGAGTACAAAAATTGTATTCTAGTTACAAGGTACATTTTTTTCTCGCAGAAACTAAACCCATTGAAGCTTCGGGCAAAAGATAAAAAATAAAGGAACCCTGATTTTTTTCGAAATTAGTATACCGGTACCAAACTTGACAAATTTTCCTCCTTTCCTCTGGCTTTTGAAATGTTGATGTTTTTCGTTAATCGAAAACCCGCGTTTCTTCACCTGTCACGAGACACTTGTATATTTTTTTCAGTATGACTTGAAGATTTTATTGAGTTTAAAATTCTGCTGGGAGTGCTCGCCGAAACTATACCATTGCAATGAGAAGTGTCAATAATTAACAATCAATGAATCAGTCGACTGATTATTTGTTGTTTTGCTTTTGTTCTTTTTAGTTAATAATCCTGAAGGAAAATTAGAGGGTAAGGGGACTGTATAGCAGAAAGTAGGTCTTTCTATGTGGCGCTGTTGGTGAAAATGGAGTATGGAGTGGGGGGGGGGGGAGAGGGAGCACTTCTTGCTATGATATCCTTAAGGGACACTCCCCTGGGCTCCCTAACTTTAAGGATAGGGTAATTGCACACGACTCGCTTGAAG